AGGTGCTGTAATTATTTCAACCATTTTTTTTCATATATTGGCCATTAAAACGTGTAAGGTAACGTTACATTTTTCAGATAATACTCATTTGTTGTCACATGACGTAAGTGTAAGTATTTATTGTTAGGGTGTCAGTTCAGAAATAGACAAACTCAAACAGAGAAATATAGTTTGGCATTATATTATGAATTTGTGTTCCTGGCAATTTTATACATTCTGGCACAAATCCAACGATACAAAATACCCATTTTTTGGTTTACAAAACAGATTTTTTAGCTTGTCTACATGTAGTTGGTTAACTCATCATGTTTAGATCTTTCGGTGTTCTTTTTGGCGATAACGCTACATTACCTCACAGATCTTTACAACAAAATTAAGGCTGTAAGTAAAATTTGGAGTAATGGACATAAATTTATACCCATAATCCACGATTGTTTATTTCAACTAGCACGTGAAATATTTACAATTAAATACGAATGAGTGGAGAAATGATTCAAAATTGGCCATTCTTATACTTAGCTTGAAAGACTAATATTAAGTTGTGTGTACAACTATTTCATTTGCTCTAAAATAGTGTATATTCTGCAAAGAAAAAAGGGGTAATACAAATTTGTTTACATCTAACTAAGAAGCGAAGCAGGTATCAGTTATCAGAGTTAGCATTCGTTTGTTATTAACGCTTTAAATCTGTTGAACAGAGCTGAAAGATAGCAATTACCTAAAGAACTAAAAGAGAAGAAAATTTTAGAAGAAGCGCACACAAATTCCAAATGTATAAATTTCAACAATGCAAATTTAAAAGTAAATCTAGCTATTATGTAAATTATCGTATGATCTATCTGCTAGCTATACAAGTTTTATATATTCTCAAGCTTAAAATATAAGAAAACTTTGAAATCTTTCTTTCTAACTTCAGAAAATTATATTTCCAAATAAACTAAATATAGTCCTAACAAATATAATAAAACACATAATTATTACAAGAACACACTAATCAAAGGCCGCTTAAGCAATGTCGGAGGTCTGATCTAATAGCTATGTAGTTTAAACCGTAGATGTTGGTTTAGATCACAAAGCCTGGAGATCATGTCCAACATAATGGCGTTTGCTGATGGGACGACGGACTGGCCTGTTTGGTGAAGGGACGCCATTATGTACGGTAAATTTTGTCATAAGCTGAAATATATACTAATTAGAATTTGTTTGTACATAAATAAATATGTTTTTCTTTTGCATGTTTAGGGCTTTTAATATTTTCAGTGTAAGTTAGGTTTTAAGAATACATTCCCTCTCTTAAATGTCTGAACTCTAAATTTGTTTTTCGATGTTGTATGATTATTTTCTTTAATTGAGCTGTTAAAAGTAAATATTTATAAGTTAATACATTTAAAAAGTTTTTTATGTATTGTTAATTTAATTAAAACTCTAGTTAAGTGTTAGGGGTCATATTTTGGACTGTGACCATACCAAGTGCCTACTAACGTTATTTATTAATTAATCAATATCATTTAACGGTTATGGAATACATAATCATACTTTATAAAAGTTATTCTTGTATAAATTTTAGTCTATTTTTTTTGTAATTTGGATTTCTCAACTTTAGAATGTAATGTTTTGCGTTGTATTTTATTGCATGTTGCATCTGCATCAAAATTGCACTGTTTTTTTTTATAAATAATCCTGAATCAAAACGTATGGTCTGCAAATATTGGTATCACATTTGAAAAATTAATTGTCAAATTAAGAATGCGTTAAGCCACTACCCACATGAACTTAACAGTAAATTGTTTCATTTACTAAACAAATAAGAGTGTAGTCGTAGTAGCTCAATTAAGCTCAATTGCTCATATAATTAATTGAATTGAAATGCATGAGACTGAGCTAAACGACTTTTACATTTATATGCAAAAATGGAAAACTGGAGCATTTAAATATATTTTATCTAATTTTTGAGGAAGCTTATTATTATTGTTCACTGTTCATAAATTTATACTAATTTTGACAAAAAGCTTAACTAAGATAATGGTGTTAAATTACTGCAATAAAATTAAATCGATATTTTGTGCAGTTTAATCAACTTCAAAAACAACCTGAAAATTAAAATTAATATTTGTTATTTAATTTAGAAAATATTACCTTATTAAATAACAACAATAATTGAGTCTAATTAGCTTGTTATCAAATTTCTCTTGTGACCCAACTACGAATCTTCTACTCGAACGCAGCTGATTTGCATAAAAAGAATCTTCAAATCATTCCACATCAATGAACCGATTTATTGGCAGTCAAACACTTTTCACATTTTGGTCGAGGCAAAACTTCAACTGATAAAACATTCTTGTAGTTAAGTTTTCCTTTTTAGGCTTACATATAAGTTACATATTTGCCACCTCAAACAGTTTTCTACTCTTTTAAAATTGCACTACAATTTTATTCCTTTTAAAAATTGATTAGTGTCCCATGATATCATATTTTAATACGAATAAAAAAAACTTTTCTATCTGTATAAATTTATAAACACATTAAATGGTGTATACCAATCTCTTGCAAAGTGTCAATTGGATTGTAGGGCGGTATTTCTGTTCTTGAAGACAGGGTTCGAGTCAAGCTGATCATAAATATATTTCTAGATAATGACGTAATCTGTTGGCTTGAAGTTCATCTTTAGCTATAGCCCCTCATGTAAAATAAGAATGCTAATGGTTGATTACAAGATAAAATTTTTTATGTATCGGAAAAAATAATCTACTTAAAGAATAAAAGTACATTCATTAAAATTTAAGTGTTTATATATCTTAGGGTTAGACAAAAGTTGCATAAGACCCTTTTTTCACCCCCTATGAAAAATGAAGGACCAATTTCAAAACCAATAAAAGTTTTGTGTTAAAATAAAAATCCATTTTCTGGATTATTTTGACGAAACTGGTAACGAGCAACATGAAGCTTAACGCCAAATCAATATCTCAATTGTCTCAAAGTCAATGTTGTTATTGTTAGCATTTCTTCTTTTTCAGTGAAATCGTTAGCTTTAGGGAAAGGTAGGGATGTTATTTGTCTGAAAAACTTACTTCTTGTATGAATAATATTTTGTGCGCTTGTTTCAGTGTAATCTTCAGGGGTAAGAAAACAAATATTCTTCAGTCTTCTATTGGTATAAAAGATTAAAATGTTTTAGAAGAACAAAATATGTTTGTTATGTATTATTTTTTTTTCGGAACGTTATTTGGATGAAACTTTAGGTGTTGAAGTATGAGACCGTACGAAAATAAATTAATAGTCTTACACGTAGTTTTATTTATTTGAAATTGTATTTAAAAAAATTATATATAATTTATCACTTAGATAAAATCCCTTGATGACTTGGCGTGGTTTGAACCCGGGACCCCAGAAACTAGAGTCCCGCGGTCTAACTATTAGACCAGCTCGATCCCCCATATTAAAATAGCTCCCAATGTTTTTTATCTTAGAATATAGTATGCCTAATGAAAATATTACAAAGAAACTAAAGCATAAGAAAATGAGTTGGGGATGGATACAATTCCATTAGAATATTAGATTTTCAGATGCCAAAACACCAAACGATGATTTATTGTCAGCAGGCTAGCGTTAAACAGCTGATCAGTGATGACGAACGATTGATTGTTGTATCAGCTGAGAACTTGTCTTCACTCCAATGGCTTTTCAAAATTTCTTAATAGTTAATGGTGTCAGAAAGTTTATAAATTGCTTTTAATTGGATATAATAGATATAATTTTATATGATGGTGTTCATTGTGTATGGCTGCTCATATATTAAAGTAGTAAATGTCAGGGTGCTCAGTTGTATTTAATTTACTACTTTAGGTTATAATCTTATTTCGTTAGTCTAAAAAGAGAGGATCTTAAGATATTATCTGTTTTATTTTATATTTTTGTTCCTTATTGTTTGTATATACTATACTCAACAAACTGTTGTGTTGTTTAATACTTGTTCATTATATTACTTATTTACATAAAACAGTGTTTATTTATCTTTATTCCATATTAGTTACTTCGGTAAAAGATGTTATTAATACCATTATTATTTAATTGTTACACTTTTTACTAGGGCAATTAAACATAAAACACATCGTAGCATTTGTTTATTGTTAAACTTATATTTTATGTCGTGGGAAATCGTTCCACCATTATCGTTGATTAACAAAACATTTAACTTAAATAAAAAATGTTGATGAACTTTAACTATCGTTACTGTAGCATAGTTACTAAATAACTGTAGCCAACTATTTACAGTCTAGCTAAAGTACTCGTCAAAAATATATGTAGCCAAAACATATCTTTAGTCAAATATCTCCAGTCAAATAGATCGTAGAATTTTATTAGTATTCTTGGGAAAGAAGAATTTACATATGAAAAAGTAATTACAATTAAATATAAAAACTTTATTTATTACAATTTGAACACACATTTAACATGAACAGATCAAAACATTAAAACTAATGTATTTACACGTAAAAAACACAATGATGATTACAAAACAAATATTTACAATGGTTAACTAACAATATTAACAGTATCCTAAAATAAATGTTATTCTACATACACATTTGATAAAAAACTGATTTTATTATACACACTCTACAAACAATTTTATTATTGCTAGATGCATCGGGCTGATCAAATTTACCCGATTAAATAAAAAGCTATATACCCTTAAAAGGAAATATTACTAGTGTAAATTTGTTTCAAAAATTGAAACACAAGCGTAGGCCTACCGTTTTTGTGTTTCTGTACAAAACGAAAAATTAGATAAAGCCAAGAATTGAGCCTGGGAGCATAATACATTTATCCTACATTAAATTCATAAAATATAACAACAAATTATATTTTTTCTTTTTATCCTAGTAATATCTTAGTAAGAAGAAAAAACAAATGTAACAAAATAATACAAAAAATACAGCACGGTAACATTTAAAAACTTAACGTTAATTAATCATTCATGACGAAATAACATTGTCATGAGAAGTACTTTAGTGCATTTATCTTATAATTACTTATCTTACAATCGCAATTATTTTATCACATTCTTCTTTTTCATTATGTGTAAACGGTGAAGATCTATCCTTTACGACTTCATACTGCTCCGGCTATTTGTGTTCTAAACAGAAAGAAAAAAAAATAACTCAAAAGTTTAACTAAACAAATTCTAAAATTTTAACGTCTTAGGACTAGATATCAAAAACTCCCAATTAACAATACTTTAGACCTAGGCCAATAAAATAGTGCAATTTAATCGAGGGACAATTCTTCTTCTTCTTCTTTATTTTAACTCTTTAAAACACCATTTTTGCTATTATAAGTCTGCCAACTAGAAAATAGCACAATCATTTCAAATCAACCAATATTGAAAATAAATTTGTTATTCATAATATGTTTGTTTTGGCTTTCATATGACTTATTTGATATCATAAACATAATGTAAAAATTTAAAACATACATATATTATAATTTAAAAAAAGAAAAAGAAACGCACTATACATTAAGATTTACCTTTTTGCATCCTTATAAAACCTTATTTTTCTTTTACCCTTCTCTGCTATTTAAACGATCTATGTTTTGAAAAGTTAGGAAACAGTAATATGTTCTGAAAACTAGAATCTGCCCAAATAGGAGAACGATCGATTAGTCATCTCATATAGGACTGGATGATAAATGGAATGTCAAATCAAAAAGTATTTCCTTTTTCAATGTTTTACGTGTATTATACTAGTGATTTATGGAAATCCGACGCAGTTTTGTTTCCTAGTTCTAAATTTAATACAATTTAAGAATATATGTTTTTCATCAACATATAAAAATAATAGTTTCTATTACATTTTAGATTCTATTTCCCTTTAGAAAACAAATTCTCCCCACCTGTGTTTGGGAAAGGTTAAGTCAACTTTTAACCATAGCTCTCAACCACTAAAGGACCTGTAAGACTAAAATACTTATGTAATACTCATCAGAAAGATCAAAAACATGCTTATTCAGGCCATACACTGATAGCATTATCATGGGTTTGACTCAATCCGGTGCATTTTGTCAGATCGGTTGGTCTTACTTTGACAACAGACCTATTCCTGTTTGCAAATTTAATGTTTATCTTTATTAATTTTTATAATCTGTTGTTTGTACGTTTGTTATGTTTTTATTTTCAATGACATTTCCTGATAACCCGAAGAAGCATGAGCTGTCGCACGGAGTGATGAATGATTTTATGATAATTTTAATATCACTTAATGTCTTAAAACCCCCAGGTGCTAAAATATGATTTTAAGAAACCTACCTGTTGAGATTCCGTTTCTTCTGCTCATCCTTAGGCGAGTTCCAAGGCTGCACCTCCCCGCTTCCCACCAACATGTAGAATGTATTGGTGGTTAGCAACGCTACCACAGACACCCAGAAAACCGATCTCCATTGCAGCATTGTACCCTGGAACCACAAACAGTTGTTATATGATTTGAGATCTCGGCAAAACAAGTATTAATCATGAGTCTCCTCATCTGCTGATAATTTTAAAAGAAAAAATTAAATTGTTTGAGGTAGGCCATGACGTTTTAGTAAGCCAACGTGCTTAGTACTTCAAGTCACTGTGAAGCAAGGTACAGAGAAAACAACACACAAGTACACTTAAGTGGTACGTTAGTAAGTGGTAAGTTAGTACACTTAAGTGGTGTCTAGCACTAGTAGCTGGTGTCTAGCGTTAAGTCCAACCCTGCTCATCGTCCTCATGTACAACGCTCATGGTTGAGGAACACCCTGTGGCCTGTACTATAGGAATTTCACACAGGGCTTACCGCTTAAGCTCTTCCTTGCTCTTCAAAAGCATATTTCTGGCACAGCATTTTAGATCTAAAAGCACATGCCTGCATGGTCGTCCCGTAAGCAAATTGTCTCTGTACATACTCCTCTCGGGGTAAATAATAGTTTAGCCATACGTTGTTTCAGCAATGTTTTCCCAGAGAAATAGGCAAAAGAAGAAGTAAGAGTTAATGCTACTTAGAATGTTTCAAGAAACTATTTAATAACTCTTAAAAAATGTACTAGCTGTACTGAATTGATCACAGTCTGGTGTTGGGGTAATATATTACTACACACGATATTATAGGGGTTAGAAGTAATTTTTTACTCAAATATCCGCATCTATCAACTCCTCGTTTTTGTCTGATAGAATATTCCAAAAATTCAAATGTGCTTAGTTGAATATGTAAAATAGATCTGGATTAATTATTAAAAATTTCCATCAAACACACAGTGCTATCGGTACAGCTACCAAAGGTAATTTTCAAAATGGCCATGAACTCAATGCATACTCTGACATACACACAACACTTTCTTGTCCAACCAACAAAATAAAAGCTAAGGAATCAAGACTTACATCAGGTGCTAGAAGCCCAGCAACATAAGGTGAGAAGATGCCTCCAAGACCTCCCAAAGCCATGAACCCCATCAAGGTCCCTGAGTAGTTGGGACTGAGGTCGAGGGTGTTCACAGACAGACTGGGGTAGTAGAACCCCATGAGGGCCATTCCGAGGGTGAACATGGCCACGACCATGGTGCTGTCACAGCCAGATGCCATGGCTCCTACTAGACCAATGGACGGACCTACAGCGGCTGCAGACACAACAGGGAATATTGAAATATCTCTATATTGAATAGTACGTAGCAGTTTATTTTTAATTTTTAAAAAGGTTAGGTAATAAGTTACTATTGAAAATGTATTGATTAAAAGGAAGTTAGTTACAATTTTTAAGTTATAGTGTTTAGCTCAGCAGGGTAATAGCAAGTCTTTGAACTAAAACTGTGACCAAAAAGGGGGGACTACTGAACATTTATCTTTTTAACATAAGAAACTCGAAAAAATAGAAATTTATTTTCACTTGGGTGGCAAAAAATTCTTAGGACAGTTAAATATTCCAAAACATAGCTAGTTAAGATAGTGTTATAAAACGGCCCACTATGGTTTAGAAGAAAATCTTTAAAGGAAGCTTAGGTTTATATGCTCATCAGATTAAATTTCTTTGTTATCAAAATCTAATGCCGCAAATATAGGCTTTAAAGAGCAACTAATTAAAAATGGAAGCCTTTCAAAGATTTGATGAGTTTTCAAGTTTGAATATTTATGCGTCTTCAATTTTTTTACTCAGCTGTTCTTTTGAGCTGAAATTTGCATTCTCCAATGTATCCTACTATAAACTAACTTTAATTTTATGTAAATATCAACCTAAGCCTACCTATTTTGCAACCTATTTTGTTCCGACTTCTAGGATGCGTCCCCTGTTTAGGTAGTGTACCACTGAAAATGGTTTTTATGACCAGTAACTTTATTCATAGTTTGGTAGCTCCAAACTACTTTATTATTTTTATTCTTTATTACTTTTATTATATCAAACCGTCTTGGGACTTTTTATCCAACCTGTATATTTAGTTATAATAATGGAATTATCAGTAATCACCATAGTCATTTACTCACCAATTGTTGTAAATAGTTTACGGACGGACGTGATAGACATGTAGTCGTTATGTAGAAGCCAGTCTGATACCCATCCTGAGACAACAGCCACAACTGTCATGGCGGCGTAGGGGATGGCTGTCAGGAGACCGTTCTGGAGGGAAAAAACAGCTGTTCTTTGAAAAATGAATAATCATCTAACAGCTCTACACACAATTTTTTGGTGTTCATAAACAAGTATTTTTTTTTAAGTTGAAATCTTACTTATTATTTATTAAAATAATTGTATATTGAACATACACTTGCAAATCTTCAATTTGCGATATTTCCGTGTTTGCATATATGTTTTTATGTACCCACATTTAATTTTGTGTTTGACAAGTTGTAGGGATTGAAAATGTTGTCTTCGCCTCAAAACATGTAAGCTACTGAAATAGTCATTGGACGATTTGACCAAAAATAATATAATAAATACGTAAAACCTGTTAATGCCTTATCAAAATAGTTTAGGGCCAGATCATGAATTTCACTCGAATATACATAGGTACAGGTTTGTATACGTAAGTAAATGTTGACAATTGTGTACCAAATTTCACCAAAATTAAATAACGTGGACTAGTGTGATCCTGCTATCAAAATCAGTTTTGGCATAAAATTGAAAAAATATAGCTTGGATCTGGGTCTTATGTGTAGCCTACCAGCAAAATCCCTATATGAAAATCTACTAAAAGTAAAAAATTACTGTCAACAACTTTTAATTTTGAACTAAACCAAAATTAGAACCAATATAGGATTTACAACTTGTATTTAAGTCTTACAGCTTTCAAAATGTCATTCTTGCATGGTGAAACAAGAATTAAAGTTGACAAATCCACCTATCTCTTCGGAGAAAAAGATGATTTCCCCCGGCTCGAAAGCTGTTTGTAGTTGAGATTTGAAAAGTCTCAAATTACCATATTTAGATATGGAAATAGCCTATGGAAATTTAGATGGCCTATGGAATAGCTGGTTTATTATTTAAAGTGGGTACCACAAACTTAAATTGTATTTAACTGTTTAAAATTAAATCTTTTGAATATAAATGAGTTAATTTCTTTCGACATCATAAAAGAAACTGCAGACCACCACTTCCTAAACTGGAATGTAACAACAATACAGTAAAATATATACTCACATCCTGTATTTCAAAGTGTAATACATCCTTCATGTACTTTGGCAACTCAGTGACAATGGAAATGATTCCCCAGTCGTGTCCAATCTGAGCAATGAGGGTGCCCCACAAGGGTAGACTGGTCAGCATTCCCACCCAGGGTGTTGGAGGCAACTGGGGAACAGAAAATATACATCAGGTAAAAAATGTTTAATTTTGTATGTTGTTAATAGTGATTTTACATTAATAAGAGTTACAGCATAGCCTCTAATACAAGGTCGTGGTGTCGGTGTGTGTTTTGTTTGGCATGCGTGGTATTTTAAAATAAAATTTATTGTTTTGCCTCAAAAATAATTCGTTATTTTCTATTTTCACATTTACCATGACAAGTTTTAATTTGAAATATTTTACCTATTTTTAGTAGGTAGGTTGTGAGAAGTGATTAACTTTACAATGTTTATCCTGTAACAAAATGTCCTACTTAATGTAATTCTAAGATTTTATTTCTGTGCAAAAAAGCCTGTTTTAGTACCACCTCACAACTAACCTTCTTTCCATGGTTGAAAGGCATGCACTCCCCCAGGTAGATACGTTCGTTTTCAGTTATGAAGGGACTTGAGCTAGGGTCGTCGTAGCCGAATATGAGCCACACCAGGGTCCAGACGATACCAGCTCCGCCGTACACATAGAACATCAGGGGCCACTGGCCTTGAGATTGCCCCAGGATAAACCCGCTTAAAGCCATGGACAGGATGAACCCAATATTCTCTCCTGCAAACAAAAATGCTGATCAGTAAAAGCATATACATGAATAGTTCTTGTACAAGAAGAGTTACAGAGGAAACTTGTTAAGGGACGAACGTGTGTTTTCAGCTCTAGTGCAGGAAATGTACTTTTACGCGCATGGAAGAGCCTGAGTGGTAATCACTGCGGAGATTCCTTTCGCAGAGTGTACAGAGTCTTCCACCGTGAGCGTTGTAAGTACACGAGGGTAAGGGGGTGGTGTACTTTGCCTTAGACACCAGCGACTAGTACTAGACACCACTTAAGTGTAGTATTCCCTCTATACTTAACCCTGTAAGTTCCCTTAATCCCGTGTATCATATCATTGGTGTATCATATCTAGTTTTATTTTAATTATTGTAATTTGTGTATATTAAAAACCAACCTGCATAGACTAAGGATCCAAGTCTGCTTTTCTCTGATGGAGGCACCCATTTGGCAAGAAGAAGGTTGAGGCATGGGTAAAGTGTTGCCTGTAAAATAATATTTGTTAAAAATAATTTTTTTAGCCAAGAATATGTTGGGTTTAAAACATTTGGGTTGATTTTCGATTAAGCAAATATTCGTACAATACTTTACTTCATACCGTTTCTTAATTACTACAAATCACTACTCATAACTTTCATAACTTTCGTATACAACCTCTCATTGCCACTGATTGTGACGCAACGACTCATTGCCCCAACTACTCAATCACTGTTTGATGAATTAAATTGTTCTTAACAGCTGATAAATAGACGGTCAAAGTATTAAAATTTTACTTCTTTTCTTTCAACCCTTGAACCTCATTGGCCCCAACTTGTACTGTAAAGTAACAAACCAATGCTGTTAAGTAAGTAAACATTGCTGTTAAGTGAATATTTTCAATCCTACCGACTGAACTGAAACGGTTAGTTTAAAAAATGGTCTTGGAATTGCTTAAGCTCAGCAAAGAAAATAAACTTGGTCATACAATAATAGTATTTGTAAGGAATTTCATCATACCAGCCCCGCTCCAGACAGCACCCTGACGAGTAAGAACCCTGCGGAGTCAAAGGCAGCGATTGCCAGTGGGGTGACCAGGTAGCTGACGGACGAGAGTAACATCCCAGCGGCCAGGAGGTACCTTGGACCGACCCTCTCCACCAGGAGGCCAGAGGGCATCTGGAGAGGAACATAGGTCCAGTAGAGAGCGCCGAAGATCATACCTTGGGTCTTTTCACTCCAGGCGAACCGGCCGACCTCAACCTACAGGGTGGGTTGGAAATTAACATCTCGACAACTTTGAGGTTTAATGACTAATGGGCTTGCCAATTTTTTATTTATCTCAATAACTTAGGATCTTAAGGCAGATTAGCGAAATGCTGTGTCTTACAATTCTCTTTAGGTCCATGGATATCAATGCTGCACTTTAGAGGATGGCCGCCACTATTTAAAAATGTTTTTTTTGTAATTGTTTCTGTTCATTAAAAAGAAAACTGTGGGTAAAGCTATAGACTAAAACGTAATCCTAAATTAAGGTTTTCCAAAATTGTGGCTTCTTCTGTAAAATACCCCAATGCTATGTCATTACACTTAATCGTAGTAAAATTAAGGCAAACAATACTTAAGATTTGCATCTTGGTTGTCATCAGATACGTATAGTGTTCTAAACACCTCTTTTTATACGTATGTACTTTGGTGATATCAGTATGAGATACTTATATTCATTACAAATTAGAAATTTAATAGGGAAATTACAGCTAAAGGAACCAAATGTACCTTTTGCCACAACACTTAAACAAGAATTAAATAGTGCTAAAAGAGTACTCGTTAAATTACTGCAATACATTTCTGATTGGCTCTGTAATCGATTGATATAAAATTTTATAAATTATTTTATATTTATAAATTGTAGCTTAATAACAATTAATATTTTAATAGTTGAACATCATCACTCTGTCACTAATTCCCTTGAACACCTAACATAATCACCAAATATGATATCAGAAGTTTCACAATATTATTGGCTGTAACATTTATATGTTTATAGGAAATATTTCAAAATATTTACCGTCTGCAGTACAGCATCTCTCGTAGTTTGATTCAACAGTTTTATGAAGTAGGGACATGCCTCAGGGTCTGGGTTGTCAAATGATGATGATGACGCAGTAGGTACAACCATCTCAGTTATGGCGATACCAACCGCATACTTCATCATGGAGGCGATGATCGTGCCCAGAACACAGATGAAGGTGATGAGATACCTCTGGGGCACTCGGAGCTTGACTGGGAACATACAAATTACCATATATCACTCTTGGCTCATAAATCAATTCTAGTACGTGATGGTTGTGATTTTGAGCGATATTAAGTGATATTGATATCATTGAGTATGAAATGCAGAATGGTACCAGTACGATCTGGTTGGTTTAGGTACTTATGTCCACCACAAACGTAAACTAAAATTGATTACAATTTCGTTAAAGAATTTATCTGAAGAGTACGAACCCAATACGAGGTGAATATTAAGTTTTGAGAATGTTACTATTCTTACAACTATATTACATGGCATGATTATAGATTTTTTTAATACAAAGAAAGTCCTGGTCCAAAAACGACAGAATTTTTTTCTTGTTTATTATAAATGGGTCTAAGGAATATATGTCGGCCTTAGTCACTAACAAGACTACAAGATCGCACTACTCATTATACACTCATCTCCATTCATACTTCGCTTTAAATACCTATTTTGTATATTTGCCATTTCAATTAAAGGTATTAAGTATTAAATACCGATATGGGCCCAGTATAAGTATAAGTAGAATTTTTTCTAAATCTGGTTATATTTGAGGACAACGCCATCATCATGTGCAGTTTTAACTAAAAACCTTAACACGAATTGATTGACAATGTACCAAACCAATGAAACTACCTTTTTAAACAATGCAAAACAAAATATAATTCCAGAAATTTATAGATTTTAATCAATTAAACTCCAAAAAAAATTCCAGAACTATAAAAATACAAAATAATCATTATCTCGATTTTCTCCAGCCATCACACCTAACAAATCAACAAAGAGTTAATTTGACCATTTACTTTATCACTAATTAGTTAATTTATTTTAATTAAATAAAAAGCTAGACAAAACTTGAGTTTATAGAAAAATATCACACTTTTCAAAGTTTTTTAACCTCAGTCCAAATATTTTTTCTTAATATTTTCCAATAATAAAATCGGTAAAAAAAAATTTCGTTGGTTAAAAACCCTCTGCATTACGTAATTGCAAACTCAACTTAGTTAAATTCTCACCTGAAAGTTTAGAGCAGTTCATCGTGATCCAGTAAAGTTGTACTGTACCCGACAACCACTCTCCGCTCGTTTTATGCACAAAATCTAATCATACCTCTTAAGATATTGTCACAAAGTTATAATTACAAAACATTCTAGATAGTGATACAGCGCTGAGTGTTATTGAAAACAACTCGAGTAAATATCAGTACTTACTTTGTTCATAACAAGCAATTTAATGCTGTGTACTCAGCAAAAAAACTTTAAGATGTGTGTTCAGAAGTTCGATCATTTAATGAAAGGTTCGATAAATTAGTCTTAATAACCACAATAGATGGATAACTTTTACTAAAAGAGGAATTTTATGTAAACTCAATGACTCCCAAAGTAGTACTTTGTACACTTCATGAGAGAAATTACTGGAATTAATGTTTGTGTTATTATTTGGTAAGGCTTATTAATATAGTGTGCTCTCAATGTACACAGCACTCTCTTTTTAGATTTTATTTGTCTTATAAACTATTATTAGCCTTTGAAATGTTAACAAATTGTTTGTACTTAAGAGGGATTCTGTAAATGTATGTAACCGGGGATAATCCAACGTCCAGTGATCAGTTTGATCATTAGAGCGGTTACTTTTCTAAAAATCTACAGATATTTTCACTCAGAAATCTGACTTTGGTCATAAACCATTTGCTGTCAAAGTATTTATTATCTAATTCAACCCGTTTTGATAAACAATACAGAGTTTCAAAGAAAAAGTGAAAATTTAACAATAGATGTATTTACGAAATCAATAATTAGTTCAAATAGTTGTAATAACTATTCCAATTTATAACTGATGGATAACTTTCTTTAGGTGTTATAGGATAATGTTTTAGGAAATTATTTTGAAAGACTTATTTAGGTAACACTAAAAGTATGATGACATGTTTAGTTTTCCTCTTTAAATTACTTAAAATTGTTTTGTTCGGCGAAATATTAAATTCCATAGAGCACGCCGGGAATAATTGAAATTAATATGCGACTGATATGTACTCACGAATAAAACAATTTGCAAATAATTGTTGACTAATAGTACCAACTTAACAAATATCAATACTCACGTTTTAAAAATAAACCTTAAGGCTCTAACATAATTGAAGATATGAAAATTCCCTCAGGGAAAAGAGTGTAACAAAGGAAATTATCTTTAGGTGTGACAATAAACTTAACGAACCGAAAATAAGGGTCCAATCTTGTAAAGACATTATCGTTTTCGCAAAGGTTTTTCGGGTACTTGATTCCCTCGTCAAAAGAAAAATAAAGTAAATTTATGATATGATAAAATTATATTATAAAAGGTTCGTTGGTTCATTAATTATAGTTTTAATACAATATGTTTGGCGTGAGTTTATTTTATGAAAAATAAAATAAATTAGTTGTTCCCTTTAAATGCCATAAAGATGATCATCACTGAGAAGGTTATTATTTATTTGAATATCTTTAAGGAATCGTCAAACAATATTATTAGTTTTGATTAAAGTTGGTGTTCAAAACAATTCGAATCGCTTGGTAAACCTAGTTGGGCCATTTATATTACTTGAGAAATATTTTTGAGGGACTTTATAGCCAGTTCTATAACTGAAATACAAACAAGGGACTATATCCTCAGTGAACATAATGTTGGTGATTTATTTCAATCAAAAACCTTAGCAAATTAAACACAATGTCAGTTTAAGCGGGTAAAATATTATATTGTCGCTTTTGGACACTTAAAACTGCAGATGATCAACCTCAAATAACATAAACAAAATAATACTCGTATTGATAAACAATTAAACAAAAACATCCGCTTCCGCAAACACTAGTGCAGATAAGTAGAGAAGTGCTTGTAGAGAAGTGGTAGATAAGGTAGACACTCTACATCAAGTAGAGATCATCTACTTCAGTGAGTAGAGAACTACAATTAACCTGTATTGATAATAATACTATGTAGATAGATGCATTCTACAATTCTGAACCCAAGCATCTTGTTTTTAAGCGAATGTTCAGAGTTCATACGAAGCTTAAATACTTATTTATGAACAATTGACTAAAATTTCGTCAAAGTTCGAAGTTCAGTTTTCCTCACGCAAGTTCAAACTAGTTGAGGTTCACTTCTGAACCTCTGACGTAAGATGTTTGTTTGAAGAATACTTAAGAGATTAACCATGTGATTGTGCATGAGTGTTCAAGAGGTCGTTATCAGTTCCTCGAGCTATTGATAGCTCAGAATATTCATACTATCATCTTATTAACTCGTGGTTTCGCAATTCAAGGTTAATCCGTTGAATTATTCTAGAAACTTTCATTAAACTGTTTATAGACTTAGAAAGGTATTAATTATTTTATGTGTACACATGGATCAACAAGGTTCAAAGGATGCATATGCCACTGAATAAAATCACAGAATGATAATCTTGATTTTTGAGGCGGATGATATTTTTACAAAAGTGAATTAAAGCACAAACTTGTCCGGAAATGTGATTGGGACTTACAGAGGATTAAGCTTAATCAAACTTTGTAGTCGCATCTCATGAACTTAACAGTTTGATTTAATAACTTTAAACTGTTTTAAAGATCCAATGTTTAACGATTATTAATCTGCTGTCTCAAAAATCTATTTTAACTGTCATAAAATACAAATTTATCATATAATAGAAGGTTAGTGGGTTCAAAATATGTTTACGCGAATTTTAAAATCAAATAATTGGAATTGGTTAAGCATAACCTACTGCCGTTTTATTTTAGTGACTGTTTTTAAATACAGTGCGTTTTTTTAATCAATATCACAGGCATATTACTTAAGATATTCTAGTCCTAAATAGTCAAATACCACCCTATTGATTTATCTATTGTAGATGGTATAGCCAATAACTGTCAAAATGGATATTGCTAATTTGTGAGGTAATTACACTTTTCATCACAATGATAAAGGGTTCTAAGGAGTTCGTTGTTGAACAATACAATGATCTGACGGTGGTCCGGAGTTGATATCTTTAGAAATGTAGAAAAATGTAGGGGGGAACTCATTTAAATTTCACTCTGTATATGACATTCGATAGCATTAACAAGTTACAATGTTTAACAACATCACTATTTTGTGTTAAAATTTTCAAAATACATACAACTGTAGAAACTAACAATACAGCACAATAGTGAAAAATCAGTTTTAGAGGGGCCTCTAGACTACGGGTAAACCATAACAAGAAAACCGAAAACCATAACCGTGTAAACCGTAACAGAATTAAAGACAGTTACCGCAATAATAAGATTACGTTTTTAAACAAATTTTAAACAACAAACCAACCTGTTTGGGTTAAAACTTTTCATGCGCTGATTATTTCTTATGCTGTATAATATTTATAGTTGCGCCCTCGTGGGCAAAGCCACGGGTACTAGCTAGTATATTTATATTTAAGGGTAACCATAAGTATAAATCCCATAAGACTAGGTCTGTCTATTCCGTATTAAATCCTTTGGATATCATAACTTGAATATATTGTTTCCAACCTTATAAACTGCAAGATTTATATGATAAATAATTTAATAAAATTAACCCTTTTTTAGTTTGTTCTGCTATTCCATTCTGTAGAAGTTTTGTACAATAATATCTCAAACATAAAAGTAAATATTAAAATATTGTTTTAATTCTATGAGTCCTATTCAAGACCTGCTAAATAAAGTGAAGTATCTTGATTTCGGTTTCGTGATTCCTTGGAAGGTGTTAATTAAGAATTTTCGAGTAGGTAGGTGTGATATTCTTAGTCTTTTAAATGCATAGCAATAATCACGTTGGATATTCTTTATCGTATTAATATTTTCTTAAGCTTCATTGATTAGTTCACATTGCAAACTTAAATAAAAATCAACTATCACAGGTAATAAATTATATTCTTCGATTTCATTGTGCATATACCGTACTACCAACAAGTATTTTTCTTATTTATAACTTTTCATACTATAACATAATTTAATACATATTTTTAAAAAGTAACAAAACTATGTGTACTAATACGATTTGCATGAAATATACAACACATTATATGAGCCCTGAACTTGGACTACTTGTAGAAGCAAGCATCAGTAAGTCGGTATGTCGTTCTATATCTTATCTGCATATATTAGGTAACTTTAACAACGCTATCTAGAGCACACGATCCTATAGAGCCACTTGATCGTTCACTTTTGTGAAGACACTATGAACAGAGTACATTTCAGCTTGCATGATAAGCAGCTTTTAAATTGAATATATGAAAGCATCTTACATGAAAATGGGGACGTTAATATTTCTGAAAGGATTGCCATAAACTGTGGAATTTGAAGAAACAATTTGGTTTTAATTTTTTTTTCTAAGAGTTTCAAATGGTTTAAATCAATGCTTAAGGTTAAGTTCTTTCATAAAAGGTTATTAATGAAAATTGTTTTTTGTATATTTAATATCATTGTTGGTCGTAGCCACTCCATTGAATGAGCCTTTAAGTAACGTACTAAACTTATTATTTCACTACAAAAATTTATTTGCGGGGTGGAAAAGTATTTCTTTCGACAAGTGTTTTCTTCGAACTAATAATCCGAACTCGATTATTATTAAGTTTAGCAAAAACTTGAACTATATATATTATAGTGTAGACATCAAAACGGTCTCTAGTTCAGAACATTAAAAATTATATTTTCACTTTGACATAATAAGGTTAGTTTTAAATAATAAGTAGTAGCAAAACCTGACGCTGCCCGGGTCAAAATAAAATTCACAATAATGGTAATGAAATATTTTATTGGTTGCAGTTAAGTAGTAAAATAATTATAATTGTTGATTCGTGATTCATCAGCGTGCTTTTTTAATATTCAATAGCTCAAATGAAAGCTGGTATTTCACTGAAGGCTCTTAGACTTAAACATATAGGATAATGTAATTAGAACTGGTGAAATATATGATTAATTAAAGTAAGAATTTGCTAAAAATCAACTGTATGTTTATTGGCCTAGTAATACAACAGAAAAATGAATAGTTATGGTTGATGTCAAATC